TTACTATTTCATTTACTAACTTAAATTTTGTAAAAAAAAAATACCCGTATATTTCTATTTCTAAAAGAATTCTGATACAGTGTTGATATTCAACATTTTTTTTACATATTTCACTAACCTTCAGACGTAGGTTTGGTTGGATTTCCTTTACTCAAAGTACTTTTGTATGTTTACAACTTTCCCCTTTGAATCTACTTTAATGTTGTGCTTGTGCGAAGGCGACATTCCGACTGAAAATAAAGAGGGGACTTGAGGTATAGGCCGTGAACGGTTTTCACTTCTTAGAGGATCCCTTAAGTCAACATTGATAAAAAAGCCCTATCTAGAAACTTTTTGCCCAATTTTGGCCGCACTTTTGGATTTCGGCTGCACTGTGCGTCGCGCTGATCTGCACACTTGTTGGAATACTTGCGGTATGTAATTTGTAGAAAAAAAATAAAAACGCCGCGATTTACGAAATTAATATTCAAAATTTCATAAATCATTTAACAAAAATATCCTCTGGCGAAGACAATTACGTTGTAGCTTGCTATATTTATTTTAATTTATTTACTTCTTACTTTTTTCATCTTGTTTTTGAAGCGGCAAAAATGTGTGCAGTAAATTCTTTTACTCACCGGTCCTACTGCAGTGCGGTATATTAACCAACGTAAAATAAAGGGTATTTTTTTCAAAATGATTTGGGAATACGTACATACAACTTGTATGATAAAAGTTAAATCAAATATTTACCAGTTAATTATATTATTTAATTGTACAAGTTCCCCTGCTGTAGCGAAAAATGGAGCAAAATCCTTTTCAAGGACTTCGCCATTCTTTGCTACCAAATGCGTTTACTTCATACTGCACGACGAAGCCAGCACACAGTGGTTCAAAATTGGAATTTAATGTTCATAATACACCGGAGCCTTCATTTTTCAACACCAATTTTTACTAAAAATCAAAAAAGGAAGTTTATGTTGGTGAACATTTTTTTATAACATTTCAAAATTTTTTTTGTGCATATTTTTTTGTTTTGGGAGAACCATACAATTGTTTTCAACTAGTTTTTGTTATGTAACGTTTAATAACTGGACCAGGGGAATACATTTTCTTCAAAATTGCTACTTTTTCTGCATTTTGCACTAAAAAATTTAATATTATCAAATAAAACTCGTAAATCAGGCTCAACTGGTCTCTTGCAAATATTGTAAGCTTTCATAAAAAAAAATAAAAATTAATCAAATTAAGTGAAAAAAGCGTTGTAATGAAGGCTCACGGAGGAATTACGAACACTAAATGCCAGTTTTGAACCACTGTGCAGCAGAGGGTTTATTGTTCTCTTTCAGTGGAACTGGAAACTCAGCGTGCAACACGATCCTGGGCACAACTTTCGCTGTGCTTTATAGATTGTACAAAGATTACTGATTAAATAGAAACCCGTAAGTGGGGTGCGAAACAAACTTTTAAAAATTTACCTCTGAAAAATGCAGAGCCGATTTATGGGTAGTTTAAGAAATAAACGACAAAACACGTCCTTTATTTTGAAAAAAATTATAAAGGACAGGGGGGTTAAAATAAAGGACTGTCCTTTAAAATAAAGGACGGATTATCACCGTAGGTATGGCGAACCGGGCTGCCAACTATCCTGACGTACTGATTTTATCAGTGCAGTACTGATTTTTCAACTCTTGTACTGATTTTATTAATTTCTTTAACCAGTACGCTAATGTCCTGATTTTTCAAAATTTATATTGATTTGTACTGAATTTTCAATTCAAACAAAATACTTTAAGATTTTCTTAAGGTTTATACACAACGCTGGAGCTTCCCTAAACTGTACAGTAAAAAGTAAGAAGAAAATAATTCAATTGTAGTTGACATGTTTCAGATAATGTTTGATATGTCCAAGAAATTAATACAACAAAAAATCAATCCTTTTATGGGCATATCGCCGGGTCGTTACATTCCAGTTGCGATAATATGATGGAGCTTAAATTATTTAAAAATAAGGCTGAAGTTTTTTTGTCGAGTGTTGTTAGTTATCTCGAAAATAACTTTCAGTTTAATAACAGCCAATTTGGATATTCGAATGGCTTTTGCCTATAACTTACAATTCTTTTTTCACAATTTACTGACCTTGTAAAAGAGTTTTGCATACAAGACATAGAGTTGGATACTCTTTTCAGCGAATTCTTAGTCTTTTAAAGTTTTTGCGTAGTTAAAAGAAATAATTTAAGCCATGAGGAAATATTGATGAAGTCCTTAAATAGTGGTACTCTTCCACAGTTTGAAATGTTTTTTTTTTTTTGTAATACCACACTCAAACGAAGCATATGAAAGAAATTAAAAGTAATTTTAAAATGATATGTAAAGAATTCTTTGACTATGTATAGGCTGAAGATGGAAATGATCTCATTATTGCTATTCAACAATGTCATAAATATAAAATAATTTATTGGCTTCTGTGTACAATGATGTGTACACTCATGTTAAATTTAATGGCACTTTTATTTTTTATGAACTATGTTTTATTTATATACCAAAATATTGTTAAAAACAAGTGTTCTGGCGTTTTAAAGTATTGTCTGTTACTTACATTCATAATTTTATTTAATTTTTATTAAAGGATAACTATGAAAAAAATTCTCTTTCATTTTATACCCATATTTCCATACATTGTATAATTTTAGATCAAAAAGATTTTTTTTTAACCACCATTCTTGTTGAGAGATAAAGTTAAAAAAAAAAAATCAGACGTCTTGTGAAAAAAATAAAAACGCAAATTTATTGTATTTGAGCTATAGCTTCGTACATGTTATAAATAAAAAGCAAACAATTTTTTACAAAGGTTTTTTATTTTTTATTTGAATCTCCTTGTGTGGGCCTATAAAGAGCTGATTACCCCAAGCGTTATGCGCTTTTTTCAGTACTTATCATTTGGTAATATGTATATACTTAAGTATCATAAGCATAATATCGATTGTTGCTTTTACATATATATATTAATAAATAAGAAAAGATCTATTTCGGAGAAACAAAAAGTGACATTATAAAAAGGGCTTTAGGGTTTTATGTATCTAAGTATTAAAAGACGTCAAAGTAATCTTAATACATATGTACATATGCAATTAATGTATGCAGGACGTGATGAAAATATAAATACGTGTTGGTCTAAAAAAGATGTTCTCTTGAAAAAATTATAAAGTGGATATTGCGACAAATTTTAACTTTTTGAATGGGTCCTAACCCAAAGATATGTCCAAAATCCTTTCGATTACTTTTCGTTTGACATCGAAATGTTATATATTACCTAAGTTAACGTAAAGGGCATACATTTGTTGTGGCCATATCCGTATCATTTGATCTATCAAAATAAAACATAGTGCCAAGAAGCTCATTCGAAAGCAGATTATTGTACTCAACTTTGAGATCAATTTGTCATGGCGTATCGTGTTAGTTGCGAACTTTGAACTATTGCCCTATGGAAAATAAAAGCAATTTTTTTTCTTTACCTGGTAACCAACTATTACAGTAGCAAAGTGGCAAATTTTGTTTGGACGATTCTCACTCCAACGACTGGTCACAATCCTAAATTTTTAAAATCAGCTTTTTGCATCTATCTTTTGACAGTACATACCTCTTACTACTGTAAATACATATACATATGTGTATCTTTTACATGCCTTTCTCAATTTACGAAATAACAGTTTATATGAGATATGTACAGTGCTGCCAACTCTTTTCGAGTAAAAGAATCCAGATTTTTGTAAAAACCCGTTAGAAACAAGCTAAACAAGAGCTGAAAACAAAATAGGTTTATATTATTATAGTTTTAGGCAATTCATTTAAACCACTACTTGAAATTAAAATTAATAGGTAAGACAGGTTTACAAAAATACTGAACTAAACCTCTGTTATTCGACGCCCTGAATGCGAATCCGAGGTCTGTTAGCCTCCATCACGTCAGGTTCGAGGTCATTTGAAGGTCAAGTGGAGAAAACTTCCTTGAAGAAACCTGAAAATTCAAAAGAATTCTTCTGAATTCGACCTTGATATCTAGATGATCTTGAAGAATCAAGGGATTAAGCGACAAAAACTAAATTTTTATTTTTTATTTTTATTGAATAAATTTTTTGTCCTATTTGACCCTCAAATTACCTCGAACCTGACATTATGGAGGTTAACGGACCTCGGATTCGGGTTCAGCAAGTCTAACATCCCACATATATGAATTTGCAGGTCTATTCGATGATTTTTCCCCTACTTTACCTTCAAATGACCTCGAACCTGTCGTAAGGGGGGCTAACAGACCTCGGATTCGCATTCAGCGCGTCGAATGCCATAGGTGTAATAGAATAATACAGCTGGGATCGAATTTAATCAGAAATTAAAATTAAGTACGAAAGTTAATATAACTATATATAAGTGTATACTATTGCGCAGCTTTGTTTTCACCAAGTTTAGCTGACTGATAAAGTTCCAGGTCTGCATTAGACCAAGGTAGTGAGAGTAAATGAAATGCAAATTCAGCCGGATCGGAAATCAATTTGAAGCCACCTGCATCCGTATAAGTTTGAACTTCTGCCCAAAATTGCTTTGTATTACTTATCTTATTCCATTTTACAAAATTAATTATATTATACTGAATAATTTTTTTTTCTATGATATCATATTTCCTCGAGCGATGTACGTAAAACATTGCCCACTGGAAACCTATTCGGCCCTATTACGCTTGTCGAAGTCGACGCTGACCACAGTATTTTTGCGGAAATGTGTTCCTCGCAAAACTACAGTGTTCAGCGAAACCGCAGTTAGATGAAAAAATTGCATCAACGTCGACGTCGACAACCACAATAGGGCCGTTTATCTCTTTTGATTGTATCGAAATTATTTGGTAACTTTAAATACATATAGCCCAAAATATAATAACGCAGTGGCAGTGACAGTTTTTCGAAATCAGCTGTTTTTTTAGAAACACTGCCACTGCGCTATTGTATTTTGGGCTTATGTATGTACTATATTGTATAAGGGAAAAAGCTAAAAATCCGTCAAAAAATTTCTCAAAAAGCTGGATTTCCCCCTCCCCGCAATTTCTAATTTCCTGCCGCTAAATGGACTTCGAAAAAGCCAGATTTGACGGGAAAAGAGCTAAATTGGCAGCCCTGGATATGTATGTACTTACTTATAGTTGGAGTATCTTTGAATTAAGAATGTGTTTTTGACAATGGTGAAGTGAATTGATGCTTAAAAAAATGTGTATGTATATGCAAAACACATGTGTATATGTAAAACTCTTGTAAATTAACCACAAGTTATACCAAAACTGGATAGCATTGGCGATTCATGCTTTCTGTCGACATCGCAGTAAATTCCAATATGCTTGTCTGTATTCATTGGACATGAAGACATATATGAGGGGATTTATACAGGTTGTTAAATAAATAAGTAAATATCCACTTATATTAACAATATGAAACACTGTGGCGCCCTTCCAAATTTTTGTGATAGTTATAGGCAAATGACAGAAAAGAAAAGATATAAAAATAACTAATATCATTTTTAATAATCGTCGATCCTTTTGGCTCATTCTTCCAGGGTATATGGTAGAGGCGTTAGATGTGTTTCCCATAGAAACATATTGGGTTTTCCTAGGTGATATTCTGTTGGACGATGTTTTTAGAGATGGATATGTGATAAAGCCTTGTTGACTGAAATAATTATGAAGATATAATTTCTGTTTCTCTTTTGTTTTTAGCTTACTTTTGAGTTTTCTTCATATCGCTTTCAGGAGCCACATCTACCTTAGGCGGTTCGGTTTGGTTCTCTGTCATCTGAAATTATGTAAGAAATTTATTATTATTTATTTATTTATTATAATACATATTTTCTCTTATTATTTAATAATGATATTTTGGCGCTTTGACCGAGCTTCTCATCCAATTTGTGGTGTGCGTCTTGACGTTGTTACACAAATGAAGGGACCAACAGTTTTACGCCGCCTCTGAACCGCAAATGGATTTTAAAAGAAGCTTTTTCATGGCAGAAATACAATCTGAGGTTTACCGATGCCCGCCTGGGTGCGGCCGCTGCACAGTGGGGTAATCGACCCTGAAACTGGAGATCAATTCATACCTACATTTAATTTAAAATATTTTGATGTATTTGTATAATTAGTTTAGTAGGATATTTTTTATTTATGAAGGTTTTTATGGCATTACCGAAGAGTGAAAAAAGTGAAACTTTAGTTTTTAAATAATAAATAAAGAAATAATTTTTATTATTAACGATAATTTGTTAAAATCATAATCATCATCAATTACAAACTAAATATTATCACTATCACTATCATAATTATCCTCATCATTATCTTCATCACTATTTTCATCACCAGCATCATCCCTTTACGGAAGTACTACTCTCAAAAGATTTCTTCATAGAGCTGATTAATTCACCCACGTTGCCAAGCAATGTAATAATAAGTGTTTTGTTAATTGTTCATCAAAAAGGAAGCATCATTGTCTTTTTTATTTTTAATGCTTTATTTCGTGCTTCCAGGACTTCTTCTGGCAATTGAACACACATAGGTAGGCAACAAAGCGTGGGATATTATCTCTGAATCTTGGATGAAATATTTGTGGAGTGTTGGGGGCATTTTGTCATTCTCCGTCTACCCGTAACTGTGAGTTAAAAATATCATCGCTATCATTATTTGTATTCACTGCACATGCCTTTCATGCATAGAAATAACAAACTATAAACAATAACAATGATTACAATTAACACTAAAAATATGCAATAACAATCTTCACGGTTTCTCATACACCCTATAATTCATTGAACAAATAAATAACGCCATTCTAAGGGCCAGCTTTCCAGTGCCGGGCTGTGGTGTAAATTTAGTTCCAACGCTGTTGTTGTTGTTGTTGTAGCGGCTACAACAACCCCGCCCAGATCGGTTAGTCCCTCAGTCGTTGTCGTCAAGCTCCACTAATGGCAGCCCTAGGAAGCGTGCAGCCTCGACGGGGTCTGTCCACAGGGGCAGGGGCGTTAGCGTGGTGGGGTTTAGAGGACATGCGAAGAGATGCTGTGAGTCATGGGGCGACTCTCAGCATGCCGGGCATTCATTTGGAATATCTTCGCTTAATCTGCTCAGGTATGAGTTCAACCTGCTGCAGTAACCAGAGCATAGTTGGGCTATTGTGGTCCGAGTCTCCCGTGGCAGACTAAGTTGTGTGCCCAGAACGGCATTCACAGTTCGGGAGTCTACCTAACTCGAGACTGCCTCTCTGTGAATGCCTTTAAAGGCCTGTCGATAGGCTGTCGGGTCCAGAGGTTGTTTGATGAACCTCTGGACTTCGTCCGTCAGTTCGTATAGATGCCTCCTGACGTGCCTGGGCGAAGGCTCTTCTGCAAGGAGTTGCCTGTTTGGATGGCCATATCTGTGGCTCCCAACCAGGAACTGCCTGCAGAGCTGTATGTTATGCTTCTTAACTGGGAGCATGTGGGCCTCCTCGTGCAGGTGGTGTTGCGGCGACATCAGGAGGCATCCTGTCGCTGTCCTAAGTGCCGTGTTCTTGCAAGTCTGCAGCTTGCCTGGCTGGCCAATTGCCTTGTATGTTTCCAGCAACGATCCTTTGTCTTTGCCCTAGGTGCTTCCGGCTAGCGACTTGAGGACCTTTTGTACTTTGTTGACAATTGCGGTTGTATGCGCGGAGAAGGAGAGCAGACTATCGAATGTTACTCCGAGTATCTTCGGAGTTGTTCACCGTCGGAATTGATGTATCATCGACGTGAATTCCCAGTTGGAGTCTGACCTCCTTCGTCCAGGTGGTAAAAAGTGTGGCTGAGGATTTTGTAGGGGAGAGGGTTAGGCTCCGTGCAGTGAAGGAGCGAGAAAGCTCGGCGATATAACCGTTTACTTTCGCGCACAAGTCATCAATTCCATCCCCTGATGCCATGATCGAGCAATCGTCGGCATAAGAGACGAGGTTGAGGAAGCTTTGAACTATAAAAGTTAAACAGTAATGGGGAAAGGACCCCACCCTTTGCAACCCCCTGCTTTATTTTCCTCGGTTTCCTCGATTTGTCTCTAAAAGTTACCGACGAGTGACGACCACTCAGATAATTCGCCGACCACCGTTTTAGTCCCTGTGGGAGAGAGGAGGCCTCTATGTCTTCTAGTAGCGTTGAATGGCTGACAGTGTCGAACGCCTTAGACAGGTCCAGCGATACTAGAATGGTTCTCTCACAGGGCCGCTTTCGATTTAGGCCACGAGTTATCTGGGTATTTATGGCGTTAAGTGCTGTTGTTATACTGTGCAAGTAGCAAGGCCCCTAGTGTCTTCGATACCGGGAAAGGAGTGTTATCGGACGATAAGACTCTCTTTTGTTGGCTGGTTTCCCCGGTTTGAGCAGTGGGACCACTCTCCCCATCTTCCAGATGTCTGGAATGACGAGAGTGGCCATTGACAAGTTGAGGACCTCCGTTAGGTACGCTACCCCCGCAGGGCCCAAAATTTTCAGCATCATCATGCATATTCCGTCGGGTCCAATGGCTTTGGAGGCTTTCGCCTTCCCGATGGCTACCCTTACCTCACCGCGGGTGAAAACAAGAGGTGCACTTGGTTTTGGCAGTTTGTTCAGCCTTCTGGTCACTCGACGTTCGGCTTTATCCACTGGAGGATGCAGGATGAACTGCCAGCTAAAATAGCTCGCGCATCGCTCCGGGTCCGACGAAGCGGGTTCACCAAAGTCTATTTCAACTCTGTCGCCACGTCTCGTCGGGTTGGACAATGACCTCACGGTTGACCAAACCTTACTCACACCAGAGGCGATGTTGCAGGTCCTCCGAGTTGAGATCCCTAACGCCGGGATTTCCGGGATCGGCTAGGACAGCCGCTTCTGCAGGAAAATTCAGACGAGGGTCCGAGATGCATCCCGCTTGGATGAAGCGGGCTGCAGCAGCGGTGACAACCCTGCGGAACTTACGTTCACCTACGCGAACGTGTTGGTATGGGTAGTGCAGTGAAGGCGCTTTCAGCAACATCCGCGAAGCCTTTCCAATCAGCTTTAGAAAAGTTGACATAGGTTCGGTGATCCGCAGAAGCAAAGTCGGCTGGTTTATCAATCGAGATGATTATAGGCAGATGGTCTGATGCTAGAGTCAGAATAGGTCGCCATGATACGCTGTTTATCAGACCAGCGCTGACTATTGTTAGGTCTGGCGAGCTGCAGCAGCTGCCCATAACCCTTGTGGGTGCGTCGTCCTTCATTGTTCTGAATGTCGAATCGTCTATCTGCTCAACCAATTGTGTTCCCCTACGATAGTTTGACAGGCTTGAATGCCAAAGACGTGGGCGTCGCCAGGATCGAATTTAGGGCGGGGCCCGACATATAAAAAAATCCCAAAATTTTCATCTTTAAACATTCTGTTTCTGGCATGCGGGAGACGATATGTACTTGCCAATTTGTTTTACAAAAATTATTTAAAAAGCAGACGTCTCGGTTGCTCAGCAAACCGGCTAATCGTTTCTGCAACTATTTCACATTGATTCTTTAAAACAAATTTTCGATGTATTCTTAAAATGCATAAACCTAAAGGTAAATTTTATAGGAAATTAAACTAACAATTTATTAAAACTAGTAGTAACCTCGAAATACGGGCGAGTACTTAGCTCAAAATTTATTTAAAGAACTTCGTGAAAGACAACAATTAATCTTGTATTGCTAGACACCTGATAACCCAGGATAATTTTTAAGTTCTTAAAAGACATTACTCTACTCTAAGCTTCGTGCAGTGGGTCATGAGAAAACCGTCATCTTTAAGGTATAGTCCAACCTTTCACAATATCTGGTATTAGTCTTAATCTGAAACGCAATAATTATTGAAAATTGGCGCCCTTTATGGCGAAAAGCATTTAATATCACACTTTCAAACTAAAGCTTTCTTAAACCTAGAAGCCTAATCTATTTGGGAGTAACGTAAAGCCTTAACATACGCCGTAGAGGCTTATGTACTTAAAAGATAACCTGTGAGCTAAAATATACTTAGTCCTGCCTTATTTTTTAAAGAATATTGAAGTTGTGAGTTTGACTAATAATAAAACATAGTTTTATTAATAAAAACTATAACCACATTTATTTAAAACAACAAAATAAAAAGTAAATGTTGTGTCAAAATTAAAAAAAAACCCATTCCGTATACGCCTCGCAGACGTAGATTATACTTTTAGGGTTAACCCTTTCAGTACAAAAATTCAACCACTGGTTCTAAAAAATTTTAAATATGTATACCGGCTAATTTTGGATCGTTCTTTTTAAAAATCACATACAAAAATGTGTAAAGCTTTGAGGTTTGCGGTCATTCAGGGTCCTTTTTATTGGTCAGTGATATCCTAGGTGTTTAAAAAAGAAAGGGATCTCAGCTAGAGCTCAGCTAGATCCATGGCTAAAGAAAATATTGCACTAGATTTAAAAACAGATATTGAAAAAGGATTTGCCGCTTTGAAATTATTTAAATGTACGTTGGCATACTTCATAAACGCTTTTTTATGTTACATAATTGAGGATGCATTTACAATATCCGAAATCCTCCTTTTTAAGAAAAGCAAAAGAAGAAAAGTAGATGTTTTTGGTACAACGTATAACTGTGAGTCTTTGTACTCTACAATGGAATTCGTAAAGTAAAAATACCGTTCACAATTAGTTGCTTTCGCGTACCTGCTAATTATTGAAAGTTATAAAAATTATCAGCTTTTTGTGTTCGCGTATGCAAAAAACTTGCAAAGTAGGGAAATTGAGAGAGCAAAATGACATTTCATTTGAGGGAAATCTGCTAGTTTCTGCTGGAAAAATTTTTGCCAACAGCAATTTGCCTACAAGAAAACAGCTGATCAAAAACTGCTGGTTGGAATTTACGCAACTCCCTAAATTGAATTTGATGGTTTGGAAGTTAAAATAGTAAAATGCGACTAACTAAACTTATAAGAAGTAAGAAATTATTCGTTTAGTCCGTGAACTGTGTCAGGATAAGACTTCGAGATTTGTTTTCTTAAGTTTTAAATTTTTTTGAATGTAAACAATATTTCTATCAGCTGTTCATCTAATTTGCAAGT